CCCACACCTGGATACCCATGGTATCCCAGGATTTAGCTTCCTGCAACTAGACTGTCTTAGGATTGTTCTTTTAGTTAGGTATAGACTGAGACTGCTTTCCAGAGCAATGCCATGCTCTGAGCATAGTGTGCTCAGCTATGGAAAGTACACGTGACTTCCTCCAGAGCATGGGTATAAATCCGGCCAGAGATGCTCTCAAAATGTCTCAGAATCTTAAAACAGGAGGAGGACTCAGAGATTAGATCCAGGCCTTCAGACAACCACCACCGGGGATACGTAGGCTAAGGGGATCTTCTCTGTGCTCCACAGCAGGGCTCTTCAAACTTGAGTGGGCGCCGGAATTACCAGGAGTGCTTAGTAACACTCAGATTGTTAGACCCTACTCCCGGAGATGCAGATTCAGGAGATGGGATGGGTCCAAGAATTTACACTTCTCACCAAGAATTTGCATTTCTTCACCAGTGCTAATGCTGCTGGTCCGTATTTTAAGAGCCAGTGTAGTACAGCTTCTTTATTCCTGTTCAACCTCTGGAAGATTAGGATGGGGCTACTTTGTGTTGGTCAGTACATGTGATGGAGAGCGCTGCGGTTTCCTGCAGGGAGGAAGGCCCAGGCCAGATTGTAGTTGCTTGCCATGACCACAAACCCCATTCACAGGAGGAGAATAGAATTTTAACTGCCTACCTGTTCCTGAGGTTGCATCTTATTTCAAATTAGAAGGTCATCTAGTTCAGTGGCTTGCAGAAGCCAGTTTAAGAGCCAGTGCTAGGCTGTTGCATAAGCAAACAGAAGGAACTTGTTAAAAATACTAATTCCTTGTCCCTGCCCTGAGATATTTTGTTTGAGTAAGTTTAGGATGGCCTGAGGACCTGTGGTGGTTTCTTTTTTTCTCTCTTTTTGTTTTTTTTGAGAAAGATTAGCCCTGAGCTAACATCTGCTGCCAATTCTCCTCGTTTTGCTGAGGAAGACTGGCCCTGAGCTAACATCTGTGCCCATCTTCCTCTATTTTATATGTGGGGCGCTGCCACAGCATGGCTTGATAAGCAGTGCGTAGGTCCACACCTCGGATCCAAACCTGCAAACCCTGGGCCACTGAAGCAGAGCACTCAAACTTGGAACTGCTATGCCACTGGCCAGCCCTGAGGACCTGTAGTTTGAACAATCTCCCCTGATGATTTAATCCACTTCAAAATTATCTATCCACAGGCCGCCTTTCCATGGTCGCACACAGGACATCCCAGTAATGCACAGCTATCTTGAGTATCTTTGACCCAAACTTAGACCATGCCCTTCATCAAGGGATTAGCAACCTTTTAAAAGAAGCGTGCCCAGGAGTTCTTTATTTAGTTTTTCATCATCAGAGGTGGCAATGCTAGTGGAATGGGCTTTGGTTCAGCCCCTGAGGAAGGCCCTAATGGGCACTGAGTTTTTCAAAGAAACACCATTTCTGGCATGTTTAGAAGTGACTATGTGCACATCTGTAACCCACCCAAACCCACTCAGCCTCTTAGCTACCATCATGAGTGTAGTTGCCCCTGGTTTGGGATTATCAGAAACAGGGGAGGGCCCATGAATAAGCTCATTGATAAAAGTTCAGTCATTCACTCACCCAACAGACAATCACTGGCTATCTGCTCTCGGTCAGACGTCAGAGTATGCTCTCAGGATAAAAAGATAAACAAGAAACAGTTCCTGCCCTCAAGGATTCCACCCTTTTGAATCCTAACCTCAGGCACTGAGATGTATGCTGTTATCTCCTAGACTTCCTTTGGTACCTGCATCTGTGCTGGTATATACACCCTTTGTGCCACAGAAACTCATTTGGCACAGCTGCTGACAATTACCAACTATCTTACATGCACGCACACAGCCTTAAAGCAAGAACATAATATCCACTTTAAGAGCTGCTAACTCTAGCATCATCTGCACAATTGCATTTTGGGTTGTAGAACGCACAGTTGCCTTTTAAAATTTTTCTTTATGCTCTTGTTGTCCTCTATGCTGGAGCTGGTTCACAATCCATTGGAAGAAAAAAACAATGGTATTTATTGTGTATTTGGAAAGGAACATTCCTCACTTTATAGGGGTTTATACACTAATATTAATTTAAAAATCTAATGTCTAGCATTTTGTTATTATAAAAATAGGCACATTTTTCTTTACAAGTATTTGTTACACTGGCTCCAAATTCAAATATTTTACAACATTTATATAAAATGGACTGCTTTATATTAAAATTCATGTAATGTTCCTGTCGTCTCCAGTTTAAGTCAGCTATCAAAGGATGCTCAATCGAGCTATATTTTTTCTTGAGCTAGATATAGTGAATCATATAGTTTGAAGGTGTTACATGCCCTCTTTGCTTTTAAGCAAGAGAAAATGCACTGTGGAAATGTTGTCTCTCATTTTTAAGGTCATTGATTGGGTTAAAAAGGCAAATGCCTTTTTTGTTGAACTTCCTTCAGTGAAGCCATTAACCTTTTAAAATAAGTATATTCAAAAATCTATCAAAAAAAGCTAAATGAGATTTTAACAAAATCCTGACAATTTCAGCTTAAACATATACACAGAAACCATATGTGCTTAGGAAGAAATATATACACACAGGCATTGTTTACAGTGCGTGTTTTTATATTTGGAAGACATTGAAGGAAGAGCCATTCCGTACATACATTATCTGAAATGTACATCTAGATAGCCCACAAAGATTTTACATCGGGAGACAAAGATATCTTTATCCATGGTAGGTAGACAGACAGACTGACTGACTTCAAACTTGCACTTGCAGTGTGGGTTTTTTTTTCCCTCTTCTCCGGGTACTGCTTTTCAAAATCGCCTCGGGCTATAGAACAGCACCTCAGATCCCCAAGGCCCACTGCCTGGCTCCTAATAGCCACTCTCCATCTGTGTCACATGAACAGCTGATGAGATCGCTCCAGTGTCTGTATTTTGGAGAGCACATCCACCCAGGTTAAAATGCTGGGGTTGCCAAGGAGCAGTCAGAAGCCATTAGTGTGGGTGAGAATTTGCCTTGCAGCAGTTGCTTGGCATGGTGGAAAGCGTGTACGCGTGCCTCTGCTCGAGCTTGAGGCGGGGTGTGTGTGCGTGTGTGTCTCCTTGTGTGAACGACCCCCTAGTGTACATGGGTGTGCAGGGAAGGTGGACAGATCAAGACCAGACTCCATACATCCAGGATTCAAAAGTCAGACGCCTTTTGTTTCCCTGTACTCTGATTAGTTCTTTGACTATTTGGGGTCCCTTTGACTCACTCTTTTTTTTTTTTTTTTATCATAACAGACGGCAAAGAAAAAGAGAACAGCAACTTCGGGGTCATGCTCTAGTGTTTGGGCAGATGGAAGGGAGCTGCTTTGCCTTGGGGCAGGGTGGTTGTAATGAAGTGGCCTGTCAGTCTGTAAATAGTGAGGGTCATCTCTTCCATGTGATGGAGGGTATCGCATTGCAGTGAAAATGGAAATGTCAATAAAATTAATCTGCCAGCTCTTTGCTGTGGCTTTTCTGCTTCTCTGGTCAAAGAAGGTTGAGGGTTTTTTCGGTGAGAAAGGAAAAGAACAGGTACAGGGAAGCCCACAGAGGAGACCCAGAAGTTAGAAGGCGAGGGGCCCAGTGGGCAGGATGTCACGGTCCAGCCCAATCCAAGAGGAGGGAGCCGGTCTGGGAAGGGGCCGCTGGATCTATAGCATGCCCGGGGAAGCTGCAGAGCGTCTAGCTCAGGCTACATTGAGCACAGAGTTTATTGTTTTAGGCTTTCTTGGACAAGGTTTTTACTTAGCATGGGATTTATGGCATTTACTGCTAATGAATGTCTATTCTTAAATTACAAAAACCCCATCTCAGCGCAATTCCCAGATGTCCTTCCAGGACCCCGGCTTCTTAAACACCAGCAGGGAGCATAAACTCTCCGCTTCTCTGTTTTCCTCTTTCGTGTGGCTCCAGGCTAATGATGTGCAAGGAAAACACAGCCATCTATAAAGCCCCAGTGCTGTCCCCGTATTCTTCATTTATTTTGCATTTGATTATGCCACAAGTCGGATCTTGTTTCTTTCCTTTTTTTAAAGTTATTAGTTCAAATATTAATGTCGGGATATGGCATACATTGCTGCTCTTGATTGATGCCTTCCCAAAAACAGGAAGACGTGCTCGTATGAATTTTAAGAAAGTAGGGGTCCTGCAATGCCTTGCCAGAAGAGTTTTTCAGATACATAATTTAGATGCCCTCCAGGCAGGCTTTCAAGGCATTTTTGCCGGAGGGCAAGAAAAAATAACTATGACTGTTAAAAGTAAATGATTTTTGCTAATGCACAATTAATGCCAGAGAAAAGCACAGAAGAGAAAGATGTTGATAGAAACTTCTGATGAAGTGAGCACCCTACCTTGATGTGTATCTTTTTTTTTTTTTTAATGATCATGATCAGTGGTGCAGAGAGCAAAAAGTTTTCATGTCATGCAAATACTGAGTGCAGGGTCATCTGAGAAGTGTGTGACTGTGCGTGCTTAGGAGGTGACAGTGGTAGGAGGGGCTGAGCAGGCAGTGTGTTATGTGCAATGAACAGTGACACAGTTACTGTCACCTATGCAGGCAGCCTAGAATATATAGACTACAGAACATTTAACTTGATTACCCTACAGTATGTGTTCAGTATGGGCACGCGGATGCATTTGCACCGAATGGGTTTTCTGATGGCGGTTTTCCCACATTGGATTCCATAATTGACAAAGAGCTACTGCACTGTGTCAAGCACACAATTATAATTGAATTAATGATATGGGCGAGTGTGAGACACACAAAATTAACATTTGAAGAGGCCTGGTTTAATTTTGTCTTTTACATATTTGTGTCTCCAATTATACTTTAATGAAAGAGAATATACCCGCTTAATGGATTTCTTTCAACAAGCTTAGCTGAGCTCATCATTAGCTGCACGTTGTTGTTGGCACCCTTTCTGTATTTCCTCTAATGTGTTTTCATTTCTTTCTACTAGGGGATGGTTTAGACAACAGTGTAGCTTCACCTGGCACAGGTGACGATGATGATCCAGACAAGGACAAAAAACGCCAGAAGAAAAGAGGCATTTTCCCCAAAGTAGCAACAAATATCATGAGAGCCTGGCTCTTCCAGCATCTCACAGTAAGTCAAGATGAAAGAGAAAAAAAAAGTTTTGTTGCTTTGCCTTCTCTTAGCAAGTTCTGTGGGCTCGTACAGATTTTTTTAAAAAAGGTCTGTTTTCCCTTTCTTGAAATCTGGGGACGAACAGAGCAGTTAAGTTTTTATCAACTATCACCATCCAAAGAGCACCCTGTAGAAAGGAGGAGGTTTTTGTTTCAACAGGCCGTGAAGGAAGCTTATTCAAAATCGTCTAGGGCCCTAAACAGTAAATATGAGTAAATTTGTTATTTATGCCGAAAGGTATGAGAGCAACTTCAGATAATGCAACTCAAGCAAGGGAAATGGCCATAAGGAGCTCAGGAATCCATAGACATTGCTGATGACTCTCTTACGAAAGCCGTCTCCTCTAGGAGGCAACAGAGGCACCTTGCCACGTACCTGTCCAAGCTCATGGTGTCAGGTGCGACTCTAATCGCCGAAGCAGCTTGCGAAGATGTCATGTGTTTATATGACAAACGCAGAAGAGTTATAGGTGTTGTAATGCCTTTGTTCATAAGGTGGAGATTAAAGGTTCTTCTTTAGCTGTTCAAGTCCATTATCTTATAAGCTAACCCTGTCCACTTCTGGAAAAGGATCAACTCTGCGCAACATTTTTGAAGTAACCATTTATCTTTATCGTCCTGTTTGCAGTCGCTTTTATGTGTTGGTGTGTACTGTTGGCTCTAAGACTCTGATGACAAAAAAAAAAAAATCACAATATATTTTTACAGAGGAACTAGACAAATAGGCTTCTATTTTACTGGTCGTTTGGAAATTCCGGGAAAATGCTAAAGATTTCAGAGGGTGTTTCTTGCTATAATATTGTTTTCAGGCCATTCTGTTTAGGCTAAATGCTTAAAAATAGAGTAGCGCATTGAAAGCTGAAGGTCTTCTTTGATTATCCCACTTGTGTGTTGCCATGCTGAATGACATTAGTTACAGTGTCATGGGTCCAGGACAAGGTTCCACTTTTATTTATGGTGGTGGCTGCTGATCTGCTCTTCCAGCAGAGCTACAAAGGGCAAGGGGCGGAGCCAGGGTGGGGAGGGCCGAGAGATAGATTCACATTCCTAAATCGGCCATTTTGATGTAAGGACATTAGTAGCAAACGAAGGTGTATCGATCCGGCCTGTGGTGTCAGGATTAGCTGGGAGAACCAACGAGGCTGCCGTGGCAGTGGTTGTTCTTGCCTTGCAGCTATGGCCATTTCAAAGGTCAGGGCCCTGCACTGACTCGGCTCAGAGGAATTAGACAGAACATGCGGTCTCTGGGCTGATTACTTAACCAAAGACAAAATAATGAGTCCTAAGCAAATACTGACTAATTGAAAGGGCTGTAAATCCATTACATATTGGTCAGGGATAATCAGGAGTATTTAATCACTTTTATCTATTCAGGAGCACTGAAGCTGCAACAGCAAAGCCCTGAACCTTGCCATGTGGTTATTATTCTCATCATTATCAAAATTACTTCACAGCTGTTCTTTGCTACATCACCTCAGCTGGAGATTTACTAACCTGTAAAATGTTTTTAATTTGGAAGTCGAGTGAGTGTGAGGGGAGGAGTTTCTCATTTTTAACTGAAGTTTTGGTTAGAGTAGCAAGGAAGACAGGCCAGGGGCGAAGGGATGGCCGGAAGCCGCTCCCCGTCCCCAGCTCACCTGTTGGGTTTCCTCCCGCTGTCTTCCTTCATGGTCGGCCTTTCTGAGTGGAAAATAAAGACTTCAACTATTGCTTTTCAAGCAAATGTCTCCAAGTATTTTCAACCCCTCCGTAATCAAAACCAGCATCACAGAACAGCAGAATCTTGGAGAATTCGGCTGCTCTATTTACAAATAAGGAAACTGAGACCCAGAAAGGGAGGTGATTAGTTCAAGGTCCAGCTGGGCCCAGGGCCCAGGCCTTCCTTGTCCTCAACTCTCTGCTTTTTCCACCACATTGTGATGACTTTGCTAAAATCATGGTCTCCTTCAGCAGTTGCATATAAATCTTACAACCTCTGCCATCAATATGCTCAGCGACAAAGAGGGGAAAAAATGGAGAAGCCAAGTGTGATTTTCTTTGCTTATTTTTAAAGCTTCCTGCTCCCTCAAATTTTCCAAATTGAGAAGACTTTCTTTGCACCTCTCTCTTCAAGCCAACTCTCTCCTTCCCCGTCCATATTCTGTGCCTTGAATCTCCTGTGGAAGTGTCCAGAGTCCTTCCTGGGCCTCCTGCCTCATCTTGTTGACGCCTTATCTCCCACCTCGCTGTCCTGGACCGAAGCCCTGTGCACCATGGCCACTGGCGAAGAATCATGGGTGGCCTGTGATTCCTTGGCGCTTGTTGTGGCTCTCCTGTGTAAGGTGCAACAAACCAACAGCGAGAACTTATCCCCACCCAGAGTGCTTTCCTCTAGTTCAATGTACAGGAGGCTTTGTGTACAATTCTCCAGGCAACTGAAATTTTTAATTAATGCCTGTCCTTGGGGTGGGGAGAGAAGACTCAAAAAGCCTGAGCCAGGAGTCGGGAAACCAGCATTTCAAGTCCAATTTTCCTCTGTACTGGCTGAATCTCCATGAAGTCCGTTAAGTTCTTTGGACGTTCCATTTCCCCATTTTTCAAACGAGGGGTGCACGTTGCAGGATCTACACGTTGCAGGCTCCCGTGCTGCGCTCCTATGTTTTGGTTCTACTCAGGAACATTTAGTCAGAGCACGCTCCCTCCGAGCCCCTGGTCATCCTTTCCTCTCTGTCCCCCTTTCTTTTGACTTTCCACTAAGGCCTTTATTTTTCTCCTGCCCATGACCTTCTTTCACAACATGCCCCTTTCATTACTTTCTCCCACTGGCTTTGTCTCCCAAGCTTTCTCTCTGCTCCCCTCCTCTGCCTTCTCCGCATCTCCCTTGTATCATAAGGAAATTCTCCTCGGCTTTCTCTTTGAAAATGTTTTCCCTCTCCATCCAGACTTCATCCCAACCGCAGAGAAGAGGTTCAGTAACTTTGATGAGGATGGTCCTGTAAAACTTTTACTTTCCAATCTTTAATGAGCTGAAAGATTTACTCGGCTATAATTCTGAGCTCAGAAACCGAGAATAGAGACCCCTAACTAGCGACATGTTAATTTAGACTTCTTTTCTTACATGCACTAACAGGCATGAGGAAGTCCTTGGAAATAGAGATGCCCCACTATATTTTTCTGTCATTTAATTAATTTCAACTTTCAAAGTGAAATGTTGGCTCTAGCTCACCGAAAATAGATGTAGTCTAAATTATTATTTCATGTAAATTTCTTTACAAGTGCATGATTCAGTGTGCATTCCTCCATTATTAGTCTCTTTAACATTATTTCAAACTGGTCTGTTCCCTTTTGTGCAGTATGACCTGTTCTTGTATTACAATAATCCCCGATGTACCCTTTTTTCTTTCTTTTTTAAAAAAAGAAGCTAATTGAATTATCTCATTATTTTAATTTGTTAAGCAAATGTATTTTGCATCTCAGGATGTGTTCTTAAAGAAGGGGACTGCTATGGCTTTGCCCCCTGAATGGGCCATTGGCCCATTTTGACATTCATGCATTCATTAACTAACAGAACATAAAAGAACTCTGGTTGTATTTTTTTTTTTCCAAACACCCAACCAGCATGGAGCAACTTCTTCCAATAAGCCACAGGGGTCTCTCTACATATGTTCTCAACTGCAAGCTATTGTCACCTATTCTGAATACCGCAAAAGGCCCAGAGAAAAAAGAACCCCACCTCAACAAAGGCCAACTGTAGCAATTGTTAAGTCTTAGTCTCAATATGACAAAAATCATTAACCTTCAGTTTTCTTGGAAGAACAAGTTCCCCTACAACTGTAACAGTTAAAACACTCTCTCAAGTTCCTGTGCACCACCAACTTTAGGGGAAAGGGTGATAAACTTGCTGCTAATTGATTATATTGAGGAAAATATTTAAACTAAACCCAAAGTGGCATTTAAAAAAACAAACTATTTGATAAATTGAGGAATTTCCATATTCACAGTTAAGCACTTCGGATTTGCTTAACCTGAGGCTAAATAATTAGTTTTTAGTTTCTGACTACCAATTTCCAAAATGTCCTTTAAAAACGAACAATAATTTTAAAGGAATAAATCCACATCTATCTTTTTAGAAATTCAACTACGGCAAATGTTGTACTTACTATACCCTCTCTGCTATTGATTGACGGGTCTGCCTGGCTTCTCAGGCTGAGAAATCTAGTGAAGATCGAAGAAAGAATCTGTTGGAAATGGATGTGCTTTTGCTGGAAAGTACCCAGTAGCAAAAAAACTTAGGGAAATCCTAGGGAAGTATATTCCTTTCACTAACACATGGAGATTATGATATCATAAAAGTAAGCCTGTCATTTCAACTGTTTTTATTTGACTTCAAAGATAGTTGAAGAAAGAAACAGCAAGAAATAATGCCCTGGCTAACGGTTTATTCATAACCGTGAAAAACTCCTCCACACCAAGAAGCCCTTAGTGTGCTCAATTAGGCTCTCAGGCACCTCCGCATGCCACCTTCAAGAGCTCCCCTAGTCGAGCTGCAAAGAATATATTTGATCATGGAATGAAAACAGGAAGTGCTCACACACAAAGACGCCACTTGCTCGGACCAGTTTCAGACTGAAGGTCTTCTTATTTGAAAACATAGGGATAAAGCTCACACTTAGGGGATGTGGGACTTCTTTCAAAGATATGTGTACAGAATCAGGAGCAAATTTACTTTAAAGTGATATAATACCATGCAGCTTTCTTGAAATTGCAGGTTCTACAAACTCTGCCCTTTTTTCATGGCAAAATGCTCTGTCCCCTCTCCACCTCTCTGGTGGTGCGGGAGAGGGATGAGAGCCGCCTCTCAGGGGTCTACTCGTTTCACTCCTTGCCTGTTAGGGTTTGTTCTCTGGGATTTTGTAAAGGTTTCTGCTTGATAATAAAAATGTAGTTTAAAGTAAATTATTCTACAGAGACAGTGTACCC